CTCATCTTTCTCCCGCGGAGCGGCTGGTAGTTTCGAACCGCTGACCTTAAGGTTCGCAGCCCGATTCGTAACCACTACGCTACCAGAGCTCAGAGAATAGGGCAGGTCAATGGAATGGGGGTGAAGAGATCAAGATAGGAACTGTGGCCTGATATCTGGGAGATTCAGAATGGAGTCTTTTTTTGGGGTGGGGAGAGGGGTGGTGATGACTGACAGCTGGTAGCTTTATCACTGAAAGTGTTGTTAGTTCAAACTGGTCTTGCATTCCAGCGCATTCACCTGTAGTACCACACCAGGACTCCCTATCATATCACTGAAATACTTGGAGATTAACAGACAAGTCTGCTTGTCAACCCTGTTCCCATACAGCATCCTGGGTCCTGTATCTCAACAAAGGAGGAGCCAGCGACTCTTCCTGAGATGGTCTAACTAACTAGCACGAGATTAACTTCTCTCTTTCACTGACTAGGGACCTGAGCCTCCTCAAGTACTTATTTCAAGACCAGAGAGTTTTGAGATTAAGACTTGAAGAGGAGACAGAAAGTGAACTGTGTACTGATGAGGGTGGTCCTACACATCGGTCCAGAAAGAACTGCCCTATCTTTTCTAATCGCAAGTTCCCTTTTTCTGTTTTAGTGTTTGAGACCATTGTGACCTGGAATTATTACTGGTCAAATCCTTGTACAGTAAATTGTTACTGAATTGCCCAAGTTATTTTGTGATATTTAATATTGCTTGGAGTCCTGATGTGGCACTGTAGGATCAACACTGGACCGCTAACCACAAGGTCGGTGGTTCAAACCCACTGGCCGCTTCTTGGAAACCCTATACAGGGCTACTATGAGTTGGACCTGTCTCGAGGGCACTTAACAACAATAGCATTATTGCTATAGGGGACAGTGCCGGCTCAGTGGTAGAATTCTTTCCTCCCATGTGGGAGACCCAGGTTCGATTCTCAGTGTCTGCACCTCATGCACAGCCACCGCCCAGCTGTTAGCAGAGGCGTGCCTGTGTCCTGCCGTGCAGAGCTTCCAGACTAAGATAGACAAGGAAGAGGATCCTGCAGACGTGCTGAAAAATCAGCCAACAAAAACTCTATGGGTCACAATAATTTGATCCACAGCTGATCATGGGGTTGGTGCAGGACTGAGAAGTATTTTGTTGCATTGTGTATGGTCACCGTGAGTTGGGGACCAGTGCAGTAGCAACTAAAGACAACAGCAACAACATTGCCTGAGACAAGTGGACTGCTGTCTGGGACTCTGTGTGTGTGCCAAAATATTTGCTAACATGGCTTTTGTTAGGACTCTACTTTTCATTTTCACTAAGTGGGTGGGTGTATTAGGTATTTCAGACATTTGGGATGGGAACATTCCTATGTTCTGAATCCATTATCTCAGTTGTAATGCTAAAAAAAATGAGTAAGAAACCTAAAGTGCTTTCCTACCCATACAATTTTGCTTAAAAAGCCCATATAACGTTTCACCAGTGATGAAGCTTCTGGGCTCCGTGTTCAGCTTCCTGAGCCATCTCTCTCTGTATGTCTCTTTGCAGGGGTACCAGGTACACATGTTTGATAGTGCCATGAATATCTCGACTTACCTTGGGAATACCACTGACAATTTCTTTAAGATTGCCAATCTGAAGATGGGTCATAATTATACTTTCACTGTCCAAGCTAGATGCCTATTTGGCAGCCAGATCTGTGGGGAGCCTGCTGTTCTGCTCTATGATGATTTGGGCACCGGTAAGTTGCTGTGGTTTGAGGAACACATAGCTTTCTAAATCGCATTGAAAATATTTTCTCATTTCAAGAGGAAATCATTTGCATGACAGTTGACTTCATCATTGATCGATTTAATAACAACAGCAAAAACAAACATTCCTGAGCACCAGGTATGGTCTTAGGAGTTGGGATTATAACAGGACCATATTCTGAATGTGAAGCGCCATTGTGGGGGTGATGAAAGGCAAGGCTGAGACGAAGCAGCAGACCCTCTCCTGCTCCCCTGCAGGGTTGCTTGCAGCTCTCTGTCAGCCTCGGATCAAGACCTGACTTTGGCTTGGGATCTGTCTTACAGTCACAGATTTGTGCCCTGTTGTGCGGACCACGGTGGTTTTATACACTTAGATCTTCATAGCTTGGCCAGAATTTCAAAAAATATCATGACACAGGTCTTTTTATGTCTTGGCCCCGTGATACTCACCTTTCACTTAGAAGTGAGGGGGTAGTGTCCTCTTTGCGGCTCCAGCTTACAACAATCCCCTGAACTTCCCATTGCCAGTTGAGGTGAAGTTGGGACACATTGAATAAGTTTGCTAGTGTGGTTTTTATTCCAGATAATTTAAGAAAAGACATTTAGATAAAGAACTAAGTATCTAATTATTTGAGTAGGCCCACCAGGAGTAGCTGCTTTCTTGCCCATCTTGACAAGATCCATGCCAGGTGGCTCTTGGGTAATGAGGGAGCTGCCTGCCCAAGGAAGAGGCCTTACCCAGACCTCCTCCCCACACCAACCTCCCCACTCCTCAGAGAGACCTACACCCAGGAGAGCCTGCTCTACTTCCTCTGCTAAAAATGTCCTCCTAAGTTCCATTTTCCTGCCCCAGACTCAGTCTTTTGACAGGAAGTTTGACATGAAAAGTATATCCCTTTCAAGGAGATTGCCCTCAACCCAACAGTCTGTGGCCTGGCCTTCCAGCCTCAGTAGCATACATTCATCACTAAATCATGGGACTAAGGGAGCGCTGAAGACCAAGGGGAAGGAGCATCACTGTGATCTTACAAGTACACCTAAGTAGCTTTGCAAAGAGCTTTAAAAACGTTAAATGTATATGGAAATGTTCTTTCTCTCTCTCCCCCTTATTTAAGTAAAAGAACCTCCTAAACTTCATGAGCTATTAAGTCGGTGTCTCATTTGTATCACTTAATGGAGCTTCAGGTAATTGTGGTTCAGAGCGACTTTGGTGCCAAGTAGGGGAAAATAATTGCAATCTAGTTAATTAGTGGTCTGATTTCACATTTTCTTATATAAGGCAGGCAAGTGGTCTTAAGTAATAATGCTAATGAAATCAGTGTCAATACCCCAACAAAGATCTCCTTTCTCAAAGATTATCTAAATCACCAACAAGACAGTGATTTGGAGTCGAATGTAATTACCGTATTTGCATGCCCAAGGCCCATGATCTCTCAGCTCATGGCAAGTAGTAAGGAAGCATTAGTAAGTGCAGGAATGTGCCACACCAGGCAGGTGCCTTGGGTAAAATCATTTGCCATTGAGTTGACTCTTAACTCCTGGTGACCCCATGTATGTCAGAGGAGAACTGTGCCCTGTAGGGTTTTCAATGAGTGATTTTTCAGAAGTGGGTCCCCAGACCTGTCTTCTGAGGTTATCTCTTGAAGCACACGAATCTTTGCATTAGCAGGGCAGCTTGTTAACTATTTGTACCGCTTAGGGACTTGACTTGGGTAGCTGTTGCAAATGCCTATCATTTTTAGTGGTTCATTTTCCAATAAAGTAGGCTTACTGGTTGAAATCTTGCCTTGGCAGGTGCAGACACATCAACGCTACAGGCTGCCAGATCTACTGATGTGGCTGCAGTGGTAGTCCCCATCTTGTTCCTGATATTGCTGAGCCTGGGTGTTGGGTTTGCCATTCTGTACACAAAGCATCGGAGGCTTCAGAGCAGTTTCACAGCGTTCGCAAATAGCCACTACAGCTCCAGGCTGGGCTCTGCCATCTTCTCCTCAGGGGATGACCTGGGTACGTGGGGCTGGGGATGTGGGCATTTCCTTCCAGACTAGACCTCACGAAGGCAATGACTAGAATAGGAGAGACCTACCTTGAGCTCCTCTGTGGACACATAGCCGTCACCTCACATGAGTTATTCATTAACCCGTGAGTCTACAGCTTTGGAGTAAACCAGTTGGAGTCCTTAGCTATTTACTTTCTCAAAATTAAGATACCAACATTCTTTTCAATAGCCTAGTTTTCTGGCCTGAGACAGTGTCTCAGTTACCTAGTGCCCCCCATAACAAAATACTATAACCTGGGTGCTTTTAAAGAGCAGAAATGTATTGTCTCACAGTTTGGGAAGCTAGAAAATCAAGTCAGGACATCAGGTTTGGGGGACAGTCCTTTTTTGGTCAGTAGGTCTGGGTGATCTTTGACTTTCCGTTGCTTGCAGACATTTCTTCATGATCCTTCCCTGTGTATGTGTGTGTTCCATTTCATAAGACTCCACTCAAAAGCTCAGAACCCACCCAACTCATGAAAGAGGAGAAATATTATTTCCAAACAGGGTTACACTCACAGATAAGCAGTTAGCAACTCAACACATGTTTGGTGGGGTGGGGGTTAGTAACACAAATTCAGTCCATAACAGATAGGGGGTAATCTTAAGGAAAATTTGATAGCAGCTTGCCTTGTATAGGAAGAACACATACAACTGTTCTTGCTCCTGAAGGTACTGGAAGATTCCAAGAATTGCTACCCTACTCTGATAGTTTACAGACTCTTGAGCGTCTCTGGAGGTCATGTTTTTGTTGTCTGTCATTGAGTTGAGTCTAATTTATTGCAACCCTATGTTGACAGAGTAGAACAGCCCCATAGGGGTTCCAAGGCTGTAATTTTTATGGAACTCGACAGCCCCATCTTTGCCTGTGGGGTGGCTGGTGAGTTCTAATTACTTACCGTTTGGTTAGCAACCAAGTGCTTAACCATTGTGCCACTTGGGCTCCTACCAGAGATTCTGAATCAGAGAAAGCTGTGCTTTTCCAGCCAGCATCTGTCAAAAGATGCCCTTTGCATCTTGCTATATTTTTCTTAAGAGTTTCTAGTGCAGTCTTCCCAAGCATTCTTACTTTACGTACCAATAGCATATAAACCAAACCACTACCTTCAAGTCAATTCTAAGTCATAGTGACCCTATACAGGGTTTCTGAGAGTGTAAATCTTTATGAGCGCAGACAACCTCGTCTTTCTCCCACGGAGCAGCTGGTGGATTTGAACCTCTAACTTGTTGTGGTTAGCAGCCCAGTGCCTAGGCCACAGTGACACCTGAGCTCCTTATCAATAACATATAGTTTGAGAAAAAGAAAGAAATAGTAATTTTAGAAATGTTTGAAGGGTGTGTTTAAAGGCTTCCCTGAACTCAGACTGATTAACATGAGTTTACATATTTCTTTTCTCAGTAAAACCCGTTATAATGACTTTTTCTTTGTTTATGACAATGTTTGTGTCTTCCCATTCACTGGTCACTATGTTCCCTTTTTTCCTCAGTTTCCTTCCTTTCTTACTACTCATCAGTTAGTGCCTGGATGGGCATGCATGAATTGGGGGTTGGGAGGGGGAGTATTGTTTACTTCTTCTGTTGGGGGCAAAAGTAGTTGGAGGTGACATGCTGCAGCCACTGAACATGGAGGGGCATTTAGTGGCACAGCATTATAGCGGTCGGCAGTCTGGGAACCGCTTGTCTGGGAAGCTGTCTCCAAAAAGCTTCGTTGTTGTTGTTAGGTGTCATTAAGTCAGCACCGACTCATAGCGACCCCATGCACAGCAGAACGAAACAATGTCCGATCCTGGACCAACCTCACTACTGTTGCCACACTTGAGTTCATCAATGCTGCCACCTGGCCAATCCATCTCGTTGGGAGTCTTCCTCTTTTTCTCCGACCCTCCATCTTACCAAGCATGATATCCTTCTCCAGCAACTGTTCCCTCCTAACAATATGTCCAAAGTTTGAGAGATGAAGTTTAGCCATCTTGGCCTCTAAGGAGCACTCTGGTTGCACTTCTTCCAAAACAGATCTATTGGTTCTTTTGGCAGCCCATGGCACTTTTAGTATTCTCCTCCAACATCACAATTCAAAGGCATCAATTCTTCCACGATCTTTCTTATTCACTGTCAAGCTTTTGCATGTGTATGAGGTTATTGAAAATTCCATGGTTTGGGTCAGGCGCACCTTAGTCCTCAAGCTGACATCTCTGCTCTTCAACACTTTCAAAAGTTCCTGTGCAGCAGATTTGCCTAATGCAGTACGTCGTCTGATCTCTTGACTGCTGCTTCCGTGAGTGTTGCTAGTTTGATCCAAGAAGAATGAAGTCCTTGACAACTTCAATCTTTTTTCCATTGATAAGAATGTTGTTTGTTCGTCCAGTGGTGAGGATTTTTGTTTTCTTGACATTGAGATGTAATCCATATCAAAGGCTGTGCTCCTTGATCTTCATCAGTAAATGTTTCAAGTCCTCTTGACTTTCAGCAAGCAAGGTTGTATCATCTGCATATCACAGGTTGTTAATGAGTCTTCCTCCAATCCTGATGCCACGTTTTTCTTCATAGAACCCAGCTTCTCATATTATTTCCTCAGCATACAGGTTGAATAAGTATGGTGAAAGAACACAACCTTGTCGCACACCTTTCTTAATTTTAAACCATTCAGTGTTCCCATGCTCTGTTCGTACAACTGCTTCTTGGTCCAGGTACAGATTCCTCATGAGTACAATTAAGTGTTCTGGAATACTCATACTTCGCAATGTTTTCCATAGTTTGTCATGATCCACACAATCGAAAGGCTTTGCGTAGTCAATAAAGCACAGGTAAACATCTTTCTGATATTCTCTGCTTTCAGCCAAGATCCATCAGACATCAGCAATGATATCTCTTGTTCCACGGCCTCTTCTGAATCCAGCTTGAACCTCTGGAAGTTCTCTGTCAATGTATAATTGTAGCCATTTCTGTATTACCTTTAGCAAAACTTTACTTGCTTGAGATATCAAAGAGATTGTTTGATGATTTCCGCATTCCGTTGGGTCACTTCTCTTTGGAATGGGCACAAATATGGATCTCTTCCAATCAGTCGGCCAGATAGTTGTCTTCCAAATTTCTTGGCAGAGATGAGTGACTGCCTCCTGTGCCGCCTCACTTTCTTGAAAGATTTCAATTTTTATTCCATCAATTCCTGGTGCCTTGTTCTTTGTCAATTCCTTCAATGCACCTTGGACTTCTTCCCTGAGTATCATTGGCTCTTGATCATATGGTATCTCTTGAAATGGTTGAACATTAACCATTTCCTTTTGATACAATGACTCTGTGTATTCCTTCCATCTTTTCTTGATGCATTCTGCATCATTCAATAATTTGCCCAGAGAATCTTTCAATAATGAAAGTCGAGGCTTGAATTTTTTCTTCATTTCCCCCAGCTTGAGAAATACTGACCGTGTTCTTCCATTTTGGTTTTCTGACTCCAGGTCTTTGCACAAAAATCTTAAACCTCTCTAAAATTGTTGGGGTTTTTTTGCGTTTGTTCTACAAGTTTAATTTTTTTAAACTTCTTGTTGTGAATTGGGTGAAGGTTAACAGAGCAGATCATCAATTTTATGTTCAATCAATGCTTTGTTTCCTGACAATGACTGCAATCCCCTCCATGTAACAGCAGTCATCCACCTTCCTCCCTGGGCTGCTTCTTCCCACTCCACCCTCCTTCCCAACCCCTCTCAAGTTTGTCCTTAGGAAAATGTTCACCTTTAGATCCTGCATGGTTGACCATTGTATGATGAGCATAGCTTACTTACTAGTTGTTGTCCCCCTATATATTTACTTACCGATTGGCTGAAAATTGGGCCACGAAGGTGAGTTCTGTTCCAGACCTGAGGGTGGTTGTGGACCATACTCTCAGTTCTTCCAGTCTCTTTCTGACCACTAAGCCCTATCTTTTTTTCTAATTTTGAATTTTGTTCCTCATTTTCTCCTACTCTATCTGGGACCTTCTAGTGTGGTTCCTTTCAGGCCGTTGGTAGTAGTAGTCAGACACCATCTATTTCTTCTGGCCTCAGGGCCATGGTGACTGATATTCACATGTTCTATTAGTCTGCTGGTCTAATTGGTTCCAAGCATCTTCTGTTTAGTCACTTGTTATTTCTTCTGCACATAGATGTTCTAAGTTACATCTGCTCATGGCTGCTCATGAGCTTTTAAGATCTCAGTCACTTCTCACCAAAGTAGGATATAGAACATTGTTTTTGTGGACTATGTTATACCAGGTGATCATGGTGTCACCTGAGAATGGTCCTGAACCCTGAGACCCATCAGCTTGTTGCCTCGACTTGTTTTCATCATTTTTTTCTGTATGCTCCACCACATTCATAGGTGTGTTTGCAGCAAAGGTCAATACCCATGTACAGATACCTTCTGTCAAACCCTTATCTATTTGTGGGTATACTTCCACTCTCCCTCCCATGCCCATTCACTATGTGTATCTGCCCATAGAAAACTATTGTTGCAGTGTTGTATATATAAAACACTATTTATCTTGATCCCTGTAGTCCTACATTCTTCCCTGTGTCTTCACTTGTCCTTATCATTTTTCTGCCAACCTCCCTCTTAGTATAGATTGTCCTCCCCATCATCCAAGTTAACACATGTTTACCCTCTAGCCAGGAGCACTGCTGTGGGATAATGCACTAGACCACAAGGTCAGTTTGAACCACAATGTTGGTGGTTCCAACTCATCAGCCACTCCTTGAAAACTCTACAGGGTTGCTATGGGCCAGAACTGACTGGATGGTACTTAACAACAGCAAAATCCTCTAGCCAGCAAATGACTCTCCCTTCCCTCCCTGGTAATCATCAAAGCATATTTCTTTAATAATGTAAACCTTTTCTTGAGTTTTTACAATAGTGGTCTCATCACAGTATTTGTCCTTTTGTGGTTGACTAATTTCAGCATAATGTCCTCCTGGTTCATCTATGTTACCAGGTGTTTTGCAGATTCATTGGTGTTTTTCATTGTTGCATAGTATTCCATGTATCAAAGTTTGTTTATCCATTCATTCTTCTATTGGTGGACATTTAGGCTGTCTCCCTGTAAAATCCTATTTCGAAGAGAAATGTGTGTTCAAAATTGAAAATAGACAATGAAGTCAACTGCTAATGTAGGATGGTAGATCACACTCAGATTGTGGGGAGCCTTAAATCACCACACCTTTAACTTTTGGGATAAGTTCATTCAATCCTACTTCCAAAAAAGTTTGCTTCTTGTTTTTGGCTAAGCTCAAGCTACCTTAAGAATAGGCTTAGACACCCATTGATGGGGAGAAGGTGACCCCAAGAATAGCAGAGGAAAGCAGAGCTGTAGTATTGACATTATCACCTAAGAGCTATGATGATGGTTTCTGGGGGAAGGAGTGTGGGGGGGAGGTGTGAAGCAAAAGAGTGGATGTGGTATCTGGCAAACTTGAAGTGAAACTCACCAGAAACTGGTGATTTTTCTTTTAGGGGAGGATGATGAAGATGCTCCGATGATAACTGGATTTTCAGATGATGTCCCCATGGTGATAGCCTGAAAGAGCTTCCCTCACTAGAAACCAAATGGTGTACATATTTTATTTGATATAGTTGATGGTTTATTTTAAAGATGCACTTTGAGTTGCAATATGTTATTTTTATATGGGCCAAAAACAAAACAAACAAACAAACAAAAAAAAAAAAAAAAAAGGAAAGAAACAAATGAATAAACTTTGTAGTAATCAACTGTGAACTTCAAACCAGGTTGATTTTAGTAACCAAATTGCTTTGATTTGACATTAATGTAGTCTTACAGGGCTGTGCTTGCTGGGCATGCTGTTAAGTCTGTGAGATCTTTTTTGATTTGATAAATTGGCCATTCTTTTTATTTTTCTAAGATGCAGAAATGTATTTAATTAAAATCTTCAAGCGAGAGTGGTAGGGGGAATCCTTCTCCTTGAAGGTGTGATCAAAGTTTTAAGGTTTGCTTGGATTGAGTTTACGTGCAAGTGTCTGGGTGTATCATGGGGGGAAGGCTCATTTTTGTTATGTTGTTAATTTATTGGGACTCTGTTTAAGGCCAGGCTTTCGTAGTCATCTGACACTGCGCATGTGATGAGCCTCTCGCCCATAGGATTGGGGGCGTGGGGACACAGAAGCATTTTTGTTTCCATTCTGGAAGCAGTCCACTTTGATTCACTTAGGTGTCGCATAATAATGTCAATAGGAGAGATCACTATGTCCTTGCTCAATTCCAGTTCAACCAAGCAGCAGCTTGGGAAGCTCTGTAAGCTAACAGCTTCCTTCTGTTAATCGATGGAATCTCACTGTATGGGCCTCTGTACAAGATGCAGCTTCAAAAGCCACAAAGTGATAACACTGCTTTACTTTACACTGGTATACTTGTCATGGCTTACTTTGGTTGTGGGAGGGAGTGCTGAGATGTGCGTGACTAACGGATAACACTGGCAAATATAGTTTCTAAGTTTTTCATTTTTGATTTAAAAAAAAAAAAAATTAACACTGAGGAATCGTGAATGTAAAATTTGTGTTACAGTGGCCACTTCTTATCCTAGAAAATCCATATGGATATCTGCATTTTGAATCGGTTCAGTGCCTTCTCTCTCTCACTGTTTATTTTCGTGAACCTTCCGTACCCCTACCTTCCTACAATCTAAACAGGAAGTGCTATTCACTGTCACAGAGATGTAATAAATTGACAAGTTTGAGGCCACTGAATTCAACTAACAGTAGTGGCAGGCAGCACTAGAGTTTGCTCACTTATTCCCTCTGCAAAATAAGCTGTACTTTTTCTTCTGCCTTGAAAATGCCACCCCTGTTTTCAAATCATGGCCACTTGATGATGGTTATATCGGATCCACTCTTCTAGAGCAGTGTTATCGATCTAGCATGGTTGTGATTGAACTGTAAATCTCACTGCAAACCTCCTCCCAGCTGAAGAGCAAGGAGCTCTGGGAATATTCCAGATCTCCCCTCTGAATCAGTTCCCTTTATATGCAAGCCTTGCAAACCCCATCTACCCTAGAATGGATGCAGTGCATCACATATCTTCTCAAGTGTTTGGTTTCCTTTAGCCAAAAGTGTCATTCTTGGGTGATAATATAGTTAATGTTCTTCCTAGGGATTGTTTGGAAAAAGAAAAAGAACCAATTCCATTTTTCAAAATTATTTAATTTTAGATGAATGCTATTTAAAATGTAAAAATTTAGTATGCCATGTGGGTAAGGCTCTTTTTGTTTTGTTTTGTTTTGTTTTTAATTTAACCAAGTGTGGTAACCATGATGAGCCTACTTCCAGCATATTTTTTTTCCCTTCCCTTTCTGTCTCATTTAAAAAACAAAAAAAGACTGGACATCCTTGGCTTTATCTTATCTTCCTAAGGGTTTTCTTTAAATCTCCAGCCCCTACCCCCTCTCCTTGAATAAGCTCTTTAAATAGCTGAAAGATTAGAAATCTGGTAGAAGGCAAGTCATTTTCATTGAACCATTAAAAAAGTATATTTTCTTCTTTTTTTTGCCAACTTTTTGATGGCATTTGTAAAAGCTGATATAAAAATCTCGGAGACATTATTTTAGATTCTTCCACAGGCAAGCTTTTTTTTATAGAGCATGTGCCTCCAGTTGGCGACTTGGGATCCTTTTAGAGAATCAAGTTCTAGTTACCAGTGCCTCCCAGTGCTTTGTGCACAGTACTGTATAGACCGGCCATCACCTCTCTCCTTGGAAAATGCCACTGTGCTGTTTGAGAAAAAGCAGCCTTTTAGGGCTAGAGTATTTTATATACACAGAAGAGCTAAGTTCCTGAAGACTAGATAGATGCAGCTATGTGTAAATTGTATATTTTTATGAACTTTTGAAGCACGCACTCTTTCTCTCTGTATTGTTCTGTGGAATTTTGATGTACAAATGCTGTCTGCAAGAGTCCCTAAGTTGGAGTGACAATGTTGTTGTTGTTGTTGTTAAGTACCATGGAGTCGGTTCCGACTCATAGTGACCCTGCATAGAGTTTCCGAGGCTGTAAATCTTTACGGGAGCAGAATGCCTCATCTTTCTCCCGTGGAACCGCTGGTAGTTTCGAACTGCTAACTTTGAGATTGGCAGCTCGACTCGTAACCACTACACTACCAGATTCCATTTGGAGTGACAATAGGAAATGAAATTTAAGAAAAAATTATCCAACCTTTGAAAAGGGGACTAAATAATTCTTTTCACTGTGACCAATTGGAGTTCCTAGTTGCTTATGAAGGAAGGGATTTTGGTACCTTGTTGGAGATGCTGCCTCTAAATGGGCATATTATGCAGGAAAAAATTTATGTTCCCTCCCGAGGTATGTTAGCATGTCCGATGTCCACATGCTTGTGGACCTCAGGGACCACTGATAGACCACAGAAAGTTCATAGGTGGAGAACTGTGCGTGAGTTTTCTCTGGAAGCCGTGAGTTTTTTTTCCTGTATGCATTATTGCTGCTCCTTGGGCTTTCTGAGACACAGTGCTTTGGGTAAAATGTCAGAGAGTGGAGTTGTACTGAAGATTCCGTGGGAGAAGCCCTGTCTACACAGACCGGTGTCGCACAGGTGAGATACTCCAGCACCTACTGGCTGCCCTGGCAAGCTGGACAAACAGTTCTCATGCTGGGTAACCAGTTGAAACTTCTAACTTGTGAGGGGAAAATGGTTCCTGGGGCCTGGGTCCATCTCTGGTAATATCAGGTAGGGACATTTGAGTGGAATAGCTATGGGGCAGAACAACTTCATGTTCTCCAGTGGCCGTCGCGTGTGGCCCATAGATTCAGCTATACTTTCCAATCTAGGAATGTAAACTTTTCTCAAAGCAATGGCCATTTTGAAAGTACCTGGAAAATGGTTTGGTGAGGCACTTCTAGATAAGCACCTGCTTATCCTTTGGAGAATCCTACCTTCAATGTCTACCCAGCAGTCACTCCCTGCAGTAAGATTATATGTCTAGAACTTCCTTAAGGGCAGGCACCACCCCATTCTGCCCAGTAAGGGGGTGATAAGGAACCCCCCCCCCCCAAAGAACTTTTCTCTTGCTTTAGTAGAGAGCTGGGGAGCCCTTAAGAAGAGATCAAGGGATAGAACCAAACTGGATACCACCACCAGTTGATTTTAGGAATTGACTTAAAACCGCAAGACCTTTGCCATGTTACTTATGTTGGGATTGTATTTTGACATTCCTGTTATGTTATTTTTCTTAATTGGAGTGTGTGCTGCTTTTCAGGTACGATTTTTGTGTAATACAAGCCAGTGCATTAGTTTATATAGACTACTACTTTCTATGCAAGACTGAGATATGGAGTAGACAGCAAGAGAAGTATTGTGGGAAACACAGACAAGTAAAGTATTTTTCAGAAAGGATACCACCACCTAATGTGGGTTGAGGGAGGATCGGTTGTATTTATATTTCTGCCCACTACTAATTTTGAGCAGCCATATTATGAATTAAATCATTACAGCCAAGGAACCCAAGAATGGTATTAGTTTCATGTTTACTGGCTGAAGTGGAAACTGCATGAATGCTGAAACAGAGCATTATTCTCAGATATTCCATGTCCCTTCTCATCGAAAGCCTCTTGTTATGAACTATTAGAAATGTTAGACAAAATCAAAGTATTTGCAGCAAAAATTCAGGCTGACTCTGCTCTTATTTCCAGTGAAACACTGTATACTTGTTTCTCTCCAAAGTGAAATTAGGTATTTATAATTTCAATTGCCTTGATGAGTTTTCAAGTCACTGATTTCTGCTGAAGATTTTACTATTGTTGAAGAACTTAAGATGATTTTTGTCTCAATGTCAACTTTTTTCACTGAATAAAAATTTAACTGGGTCACAAAAACATCTATTTAACAATACACTCTATGCGTGTCTTGAGTTGTTCTTTTGAGTGCAATAAAATGGCTAATACCGTCTCTGAACACCTTTTGATTTGTCTGTCTTAAAAGGATGTTTATTTCATAGATGAGAGAGCAGGAAGACCTGAAGTCATTTTGTTATTAACAAGCTGGTCGCACACAGTGGATCCTTGAAGCACAATGCCTTTGTGTGGGCTGTGGAGTGGGGAGATGATATGGCGGTGGTTAGAAATCAATAGAATTATTCCACAGGGATGGTGACTTAAGTTGGCCCCCTTAAAGCTGTAACTACATTTGCTGAGAGATAATTTGCTAAGAAAGCAGTTTTCAAATCTAAAAGAAAAAAGCATAGCAAAGAGAAGTTGTGTGCTAGAGAACACATCAGGGGGTTTCCATAGAAAGTAAAGTCTTAAGAATGTTACGATTTACCTCTAAGTGTGTGAAAGGGAGTGGATGTAGAAGTTGGAATTTGAGAAAGTGGGGTGGGAGGTGGGGGCATGCAAGCTTTTTGAAGTGAATAGACCTTCTTGTTTAGAAATGCTACCCTTGTTTAGATATTCCAGAAAACACTCTGAGGTATATGATCACGTTTTCATAAATGCAGAAAAAGAGACTCAGAGCTGTTAAGTAATTTGCTTAGGGGAGACCAGATGATAAATGATAAAACCAGCCTTCGGGTATTTTTAGAAGTTTCCCTAAATACCTTCTAGGTATTTTTCACTCCAGCCCCTGTATCACACTACCTCATGTAATCAGTGTCAGGTGAACACACTCAGCCCAGCACACTGT